GGAATGGGGTTGAGCTCCGTAGAGCCATTTGGAAATGTGAGACTGATGAACTCGGTAGGCATATTGAAAGAGGCGCACTGGTGTAATCTGTGTTAACGAGCCGTGTAGACATTGCCAATTCATACGCATTCGTAGTTGACTTATACTGCTATTGGGGGCCATATCCCGGGGTGCGCGGGTCGTTGACCGATGGCGCAATTGACGTATTGCGATACATGCGGGAGCATCACGCCATGCCGCAACGTCGGCCTTCGGTCGGTGGCGATTCTTACAGGCTGATCATCCGGACCCGAGAGGGGTTCGGGGCTGTTTGATTGATAAGCTTCTGGGAATGTCGGAAGGTGTGCTCAAATGGCGATCCTTTGCCGCGAGAATGTCTAGATGAGTTGATAGCTGACTCGCACGATCCCCTTGCACAACCAACTCGGAGGGATGGAAGGGGGAGCCGCACTTGGTCTGTTGTTTCATCGAAGTATTCCGTACACTATTCGCACCTTCTCATTATGGCTGTATCGAGACGCTTGGATGACTTGTCATATGTTAGTTAGGCCCATCTCACCTTCGTCAAGAAAGACGATGGCCTTTCAGATCAGTAAGGGTTGGCAATGTGGAATAGTGGCACTCAATTATGACATGGGCTCTAGTTTGAGTCTACAGACCATATTCAGTCTACTTTTGCTCTTCCAGGAAAGCTTGCAAGGACTCAACAATAACCTGGTGATCATCCTCCTGTGCCAGCCCGCTCACAACGATTGCGCCAATCGGCCCCTCAACACCGTCGACACGGACAGGGAAGCCACCACCATGAATTGCGTAGTCGCCAGCCGTCTCCCCCAGTTGGAAACGAGCCTTGAAGTTCTCCTCGTTGCCCTTGTCGAAGAGGTTGTGGCCCGCCCAGGAGCTCCATCCAAATCTCAGAACAAAGTTCCTCTTGCGGGCAACCCAGTTGTCGTTCTCCGGCACAGTCCCTGGTCTTGAGGTGGCATGGAACAGCAACTGCTTGTTGTTCGCGAGAGTGATGTTGATCACTGCCGCCTGCTCCGCAACTTCTCTCAGTCGATTCCGGATCAAGACGCCGATCTCAAAGGCATCTTCAGCGGTAAAGTGAGGCAGCGTCAGTGATTTCTCCTGAGCGGTGATCTCGGCAAACTGTTACTGTAAGCAAAAGAAAGCTGATGGGGGCAATGGCAGAGCTATGGGACTAAGGCTCACAGTTGTCGGCGGCGTGCCGAGTGGCTTGACTGTCATGGTTGGCGGCGTGGGGATTGTAATGAGAGCACAGTAAAGGACGGGTGAAAGAAGGCGATTGGAGATAATGATAGCGAGAATGGGCGTCGCGAGTCCATCAGTGAATTCGAGCTTGTCAAAGGTCCCTTTTGTTCTTATATTCCTTCCTTGTCCTGCGCAATCCGGTACCCCGAAACTCCCCGGACATCCACTACGAGGTCATCGTCGGTTTAGTAGTGCGCTGTGTGTCGTGTTTCTCCGAGACCCCGCCATTCGGGGATGATACTCCGATAAGCGATCTGACACCTCAAGTGATCAATTGTCCCGAGACTCCGCGGCATCACAAGGTATCGCAATAGGACCAGCCAAAGGCTTGATCAATAATTCGTTGTATCTCTGATGAATTCGAGCTGACCTGCCACAAGTTAATTACCTAGATAGTTACAGGTGCAGAAGAACCTCAGCAGGTGTAGCATCGTGCCTGTAAACGGGTCATCCAGGCTCCAATTCGAGTGCTTGCACAATCTCTGTATTAAGCACGTCAAAATGCTATACTGTTGTTGCTTGAAGAAGGTATGGTGACTTATTTATATTGATATGAGATGCAAAACCTCGTGAAGCTACTCTACAACCTCCGCAATGATCCGCTCAGGCACTTGTCTTCAGGGCGCGCAGCCCAGGCCATTATAATGCGTGGGCGCAGGTCGTGGAAGAAAGAGATGCGAACTCTCGTCACGAGCGGAATATTCATAAGAAACTTGCTGCAACCGAACGAAAAGACTCCGACTTGTACAGCCCTGTCAATAGTCGTTCGTGCCTGCCCTTACCGGAAGTTCTTTCCACGACAGCTTCAGAGACGCACCAGGGGGGTTCTTGCCAAATATAACCGACGTTACCTGGGCATCAACTTTCCCTTCTACAGCACCTACACCTAAGGTACCTTGCCTTACCTTAGAAGAGCTTATCTTGTGTCAACGCAGACACGACTACAGCATCATTGACGTGTGGCCGAAAGTCCTTCGTCCCAGTGGACCATATTTTGGTACTCCTCACTCGGAGTATGGGTTGGATTCGACTACATCCATGCCTCGACGCCCCTTCGTTAACTTTCATCCACGGGTTAGTTCCTTACTTCGGTTCTACCGAGTTCTTCTGCTGCGTTGTCCGCACTCTACCCTGCTTCTTCATCTACACGGACGCCAACTAACATGTGCTCGAAGAACGGCCTAACTTGCACTGCACCGACAATTTCTCTTCTGGGCACTGTCCATTCTTACTGAGCGGGCGTTGAGCTATCGATTTGACAACCTCAGCGACATGAGCTCTCTCAAGATTCCGATCAAAGACTCAGGTGCCATGGGACATACTACTCACGCCAAGGCAACCGGCATCGGAAACGCCACGATGGACGATGACCCTAAACCTGAGACCCGGCAAGACGACGACTCTGTTGAACGCGTTGACATAGCTGGAACCCCTATGCACGAGCCTCAACTGCTACCTATACTCGAATTCGTTGTAGAAGATGAATCTTTCATTAGCGACGACGCATATGCCTCACTTGTTGATGAAGGCTCCGGCGGCGTTGCACCTCCGACTCTCGCCAACAAGCCACCCATCGATGGTCTCATCCATGGTCTTGATAATGACGGGTCGCAAAGCTCTGTTGGCGAAGTCAGCTCAAAGAGTGGAACACGAGTCGTCTCGCTTGCTGAAGACGACCCCAGCTTTGCCGCACATAGTATTCCCAAAGGTGCTCTGAGCGACGGCATTTCAGAAGACGGGTCATCAGATACGACCGCCGATGACACGGCTTCGAGCAACGCAGACGACTCTAGTCTTGTGGTGCTCCAGAAGATCGACTCATACACCGGCGGTTCTCAAGCCGACAGCGTGTATCATATTGATCAAGCAAACGATCTGCATACCGACGAAGATAATAATAACCGGAACTTTGGAAAAGCCCATTGCGAGATCAATACTGTAGACAACAGTGCAATCAATGGCTTGTCTCATGAGAATGGGACGTACAGCTGGGTATTCAACAACGAGGCCTTCAGAAACAACACTTGGCACTTTGGCGAGGAAGACGTTGTTGAACCTGCTCCGCAGATTCGCAGCAAGAAGCCCGAACCGATTTGGAAGCAGTATCCTCAAGCCCAGTACCCTCGATTCGACATGGCCCTCAATCCGACCGGCTGCGATGGTACAGAAGCAACCTTGGCCTCGAGAGCCTACCCGATGCCGAGTCCCGGCAGCTTGGTCGACCGCCAGGTCTGGGTCATTGTTTCGAGCGAGTTCTCTCGGGCCACTGATGAAGGAGAAGACGATGATGAGTCCAGCGTCGAGTACTTCAACCAAAACTAGAGCCTTGATGAGTCTTCTCGACGTGGCGACTCTGTCGTTTACTGCCATTCTTACGACGGGCCAATGGAAGCAGCCGACTACGCCCTCTTGGGCCCTCTCATCGAGCGCGGTCGTAACATAGAGCTCGACCAAATCTACCGAAGAGGTGTCGTGTTGCTCAAGAAAACCCAACGCAAGGCATTCGCTTTCTCCTTCAGTGACTGCAGGCCCGGCAAGGCCAAAACGTTCTATGGCTGGATCCCCCGATGGCGTATTCCGAGACTTGTGTGCATGGGCTGGGGCGGCTTTACGCCTGCCATTCTCCACCGCCAGTTCCGTGGGAGCAAAGTAGATGGCAAGGAGTTGGGTAACTGGAACCCGGTTCCACCCAAGCGATCATCGTCATACGGCACGACCTTTGTCAGTGATCGGAGGTCGACATTCAGCCTCCTGGTGCAGTTCAAGTCGGAGCGCGAGGGAGCTGCGCGCAAAGGAGTCACCACGTTTGCGAAGCAATATCGCGAGACTGTTGCTGCCGAACAGTGCAGGTGGGATGTGCACACCACTAATGATTTCTGGCCGACCATAGTCCCCCCCCACCTTCGAGGAAAGACCGACCAGGTCGTTGTCGAGATGCCTCAGGTTGTGGGTGACGAGAGCATGGATGCGAAGCCGTGTACCAAGGGCGTCGAGCAGTCCATCGTGTCTGGGGGGGGAGGACAGGATGGATATGTGTCGCTCGTCCCGGCTGGCTGCTGTCAACGAACCTGGGTCATACCCTGCTGAAAAAGACAAGCGAATGTGGAGGAAGCGTCATGAAAGACTGTTCAGGTCATGAGAAGCAACGAACACAGGCACGGGGGAGAGTGAGGCGGTAAGAAATACATGTTGACCAGCAAGCCACTAAGACAGACAAAGTAGCACAAACCATGGAGTTGATAGATGACAAAACATCTCCAGTACGTGGATGCCGTAATCAGTGCTCGCCTGTCCGTCGGGTGGAGACAGTGACCACTGGAACCTGTGCAGTGCTCCATGCGGGGCCCATCAGGCTGCAGCAGCGTCACGTAGCGCTCAGGCCGGCGCTCAGTCCAGGGTCCAGATGGGGAGAGGTCCCGCGCACTTGCCGTCCCGTCATCAGTCATTCCTAGTCATTCAGTCATGCGGATTGGGTGCACTGGCACCACTGGCGTATTGGCTCACCGACCTGTTTCCGGCAATCGGTCACTCGCCATCCTTCATCTCTCTTCTTGCGACTGTCTATCCGAACCTCATGACCCTCGATTGAAACTGGTGACAGCACGGCCACCGGACTACAGCTTTCTCTGCACCAACAATACATACTCTTCCTGCGTCTTCTTTTCGTTGTTGAACTCTCGCCATCACATCCCAATACACCCAGAGGCCGTACCGCCATCGCCTTTGTTATCGCTAGGCAGCTCCCCCCTCCTCCAGCCTTATCTGCCTGGACTCCCAATCACCACCCCGAAGTCGACTCTGGGCCATTCGAAGGCACACTTGAAGGCAAACAACGCTCGTGTTCCAGAGGGGAGGTGGTCCCCGGAGTTTGGAGCACCATGTTTTCGGAATGTGAGTGACCCGCGCCGTGACCTCTCATCACTCACTGTTAGACGTTGTTCTGACGTTGTCGGGCAGATGCCTCGCGCTTCCTGGCGCAGTCACAGAGTAGGATATCCAATTTCGGCGGACAGCTCGACAACGGCGACAGCCCGCCTCGACAGCCCTCCGACCGGAACGCACGATCGACACGAAACCCTGGCGGCCGCTCCTTTCTTGGAAGGGGGTACACCGGCAATCCCTACGTTGCCGGCGGTTCACGGTTCGGGCAGCTAGGCTTCGCTTCCCGCATGTCCGTAGCCCGCGAGGACGCACCGCTCTTCCACAGCACGCTGAACGAGTACCGGGAGGATGACGACGAGGACGAGCGCGACAGGGATGCGGCCGACTTGTTTGCCCTGCAGAGGTCCCGTCGCGTCGCCGCTGCGAGCAAGCTTGCCGAGAGCACGGAGACGGACCCCGACGCGAGCCGTGGCTCGCTCGACCAGAGCAACGAAGGCAGCCACAGCCGACGTTATCAAGATCGGAGCATAAGGAGGGGCATTCGCAGCAGCTGGAACGGCACACGGAGTTTCAGCGGGCGTGGCAGGGGGCAAGGAGCCATCGACGAAGAGGCGGAAGATGTGCAACGAGATGCGACCGACCGGGACAGCAACCACAGCTCCGAAGGAAACCCGAAAATGGTCGACGTCGGATTAGAGTCCCAGACGGAATACGACGATCCCCCAGCGTCGCTGACGGGCGAGCTGGAAGACGACAATAGCCCACCCGCCTTCCAGAAGTTCCAGGGCAAGGCGGATCGGAACAAGTTCATGCTTCGTAGGGAGTCAACCAACGAGTCCGAGTACGACGAGCAACAGGAAGCCGAGGCGGAGAGCCAGGTGATGCCAGCCACTGTACCACTAGCCGAGGGCGAGATTTTCAAGTACGACCCCTTCTTCGCCTGGGCGTTTCTCATTCTTCTTGCAGCCCTGCTTTCGACCTTCGTACTGGTGTGGCTGCATACGTCTACACGCAAGGGCATGGGCGACACGATTTATACAACACTACACGCATCCTTCCACATGCTCGCAGTTGACACTCTGATCTCGGTCATCGTGGCGCTTTTCTGGCTTGCGGCTCTGCGGTCCTTCGCCCGCCCCCTTGCGGGCCTCGTCGTTGTTGCCGTCCCCGTCATCATGGGCACCTTTGCGCTTTACGCGTTCGTGTCGAGTTTCAAGGGCTCAACGCATGGGGCGAGCTTCCAGGACCGCGCACTGCGGTGGGCCTCTCTGGTGCCAGCTGTGAGCTGTGTGGTCTGGGTCTTCCTCGTCATCAAAGCTCGTCACAGCATCAGGCAGGCGGTAGATATTCTCGAATTCGCGAGCCGCATCCTGGCGGCCAACTCGGCTCTTCTCGTCCTGGGCTTTGCCTGTCTGGCGTTGATTGTGGTGTGGACTTGGATCTGGATGGGCATGTTCACGCGCATTTTCCTCGGTGGCTACTTCTCCAAGAGCCTCGCACGGTTTGTCATCCGGGTCTCCAGCTGGTGGCTCGGCGTCTGGTTCATTCTCATGTACATGTGGACAGTCGGCGTCATCAACTCGGTGCAGCGCGCGACAACAGCGGCGACAGTATCGCAGTGGTACTTTCACCGCATGGCGGCGCCTGCGCCGTCTTCCAACGACATTGTCATGGCTGCTATGGGACACGCCTTGACCACGATATTCGGCAGCATCTGCGAGCAGACGTTCCTGGCATTGATGATCCGGGCCCCTCTGCTTGTTCTTCCCAGGAGCCTGTCGAATATCATTGAAGCCATCAGCTCACGGATCATCCCCACGCCCATCGCTGCCTTGACGAATCCCCTGACCATTACGTACGGCGCTATACACTCGCAGAACCTGCAGGCGGCCGCGCGTGGTCTCAGTCGCATGGAGTTCCTGTCGCCGGGGCGCCCGACGACGACTCTGACGCCACACGTCTTCACGTCATCTCTGCGCGGTGCCCGGTCGCCCACGCTGCCGTACCGGCTGGCCAAAATGCTCCTCTACGCGACCCGCTTCATCATGGCCACGGCGCTCGGGTTCGCAGGCTGGGTCATGACGGCGAAGCAGCTACGGATCGCGGCGTCGGACGGCATGGGCACCCGCGGGTCGGCATACGCCTACATTGTCGGCATCGTCGCCAGCTTCATCGGCTTCTCGGTCATGGGCGCCATGGAGAACATACTCAGCGGTATTGTGGACGCGGCCATTATCTGCTACGGCAGCGAGAAGCTCATGCGGAACGGGAGTGGCGGGTATTGCATGGAAGCGGCGTATCTCTTTGGGGAGAGGCGTCGTGATGATCGGGACTTGCCTTGATGAGGAACAGTCTTCTACGTCTCTTTCTGTTTCTGGGTTTTTCTTTTTTTTTTTTTTTCCGTTGTCAGAGTCGGTTTTGGCGTTGGATCGGGACCGGGATCGGGACGTCGTCTTGTCGACCATGGACCTCCAGCGCTCGGGAACGGGGGTGCTTTTTGGTGTTACTGAGTACCGGCAGCGAAACGCATCTAGAAGGAATGCAAGTTTGAACTCATCATTGATTCGTTGTCTGTCTGGCCTTGGCTGTCGCATGGTTCTCTTGGGCTCCACGACTACACATGGCAAGTGGCTAATGCGAATGATGTGCAGGATCAAGAAAGGCACGCTTCTTAGCACCACCACTTAGACTTGCTGGGCAATGAGCTTAATGCTGGCGCGTAGAGCAGAAGGACCAGTGACGAGGCCAGCCAAGGAGTCCACCGAGAGGGGCTGGGTGTCCTGCGTGGAGGAGGAGGAGGAAGGGGGAGGAGGGGGGAGGGGGGGGGCTTCGGACATCAACCGAGCCAGGCACATGGACGATACGATGGGTCGAGCTCAGCTTCAGCTTCATGTCAAAAAAGTGGTCTACAGAATGGGGACGTTCTGGAAAGAAGCGAGTGAGGCTCTGCTCTGGGATTCCCTTCAACACTACACAGTACAGGACATGGCCCACCGTGCAGTTTCCGTGGGCTGCGCCACCCCAGCTTGCGCAGCCCTCCCTCCTACGCCCCGGGCGGCGGATGAATCGAGATGGGGGATCCCGCCCTCACTGGGCGAGAGGAGCGCACAGCGGCCATGGTGCTGGGGGGAAAGCAAACCGTCCGTGTTGGGACAGGGACAGAGAGGGAAGGAAGGCCAAGGCTAGTGAGGAGGTGTTTTCACTTGGCGGGCACGCGGGGGGAGGGGGCGAGAAGAACCAGGCTGGGCCACGAGGATCCAACTGATTCGGGGGCACACCGCTTCTGGTTGGCAGGTAGGTGACGGGAACAAAAGGGAAAAAAAAAACCCTGCCTTCCTCTTTGGATGGGCTTGCCACATGATGATGACCAGCAGAGACGAGGACGGGAAAAAGCTGAGGCCCGAAGCCTGGTCACGATGTCATCGTTGGAGGCCTGCACCAGCCACACCACGGCCCTGGCTGTCTGGGTGCCCTGCCCGCCCTACAGCACGCGTGGGCCGAGGGTCGCTTTTCGCAGGGCGACTGTTAGGGGGCATGGGCTGCGCTGTAGAACGACGGAGTTCAGCGTGCAGCGTGCAGCGTGCAGGAACGTGTGGCAGGAGCTACCCTGGGCGCTGGACGGCGCGGCGGGCGTGGCGACAAGGGTCGCGACGATGCTACAGTGCGCCATTGCTCGCCGGGGTGTCTGGGCGGTGGATGCGCATTGGCCGTGGCTCGACGATAGCGGGGTGTCTCCGACGCAATGAGGGGCAAATCGAAGGCCAACTTGACGCACAAGGTGTAAGGTGACTTCTCAGTCGGCAACCGCATTCCGAGCCTGGAGCTTCCCTACTGCCTCAGCCTAGGTAGGGACCCAGGCGTGGCGGAAAGAGTCCACTTCACTTGACTTGACCTGCAGGCAGCGCCTGAGTGCTAAAAGTCCGGGGGTTTCGCCATCTGCGTTTCCGCGACTCTCTCCCCCCCCCGCCCTCTTTCTCTGGCATCATCGTCAACCTACTACCACTTTCACCACAGCTGCGCCAGGTCACTACGTTGCGCCTTCTCGTCCACAATCTGCAATCACGATAGTCTATTCTCACGTCGAAACTGCGTCTACCTCTGAACCCCCACATGGCCGATTTTGAAGCGCCATCGGGGCCTCCCCCTCCCGAGCTTCCGCCTGGCTGGACAGCGCGCTGGAACACACAGTACAACGCCTGGTGAGTAGTGACGAGCCTCAAAGCTTTTCTTTCATCTGCCTGCGCCTGTCGCAACATCAGACCAGACAGATTCGCTAACATTTCCAGGTTCTACGTCAATCTCCACACGAAACAGTCCCAATGGGACAAGCCCACCGAGCCGGCGCTGCCGCCCCAGAACGACACCCCAGATGGCCCCCCTCCCGGATACGCCCCTCGCCCCGGCGACAACCCATCTACCCCCTCCGATGTGAAGCATAACCCCTACACGCAGGCTTCCGCCAGCCCCCAGCCCGGCGCAAGCTCCTCTCAGCCTCCTCCCGCACAGGCCGCCGGCCCGCCCCAGCAGCAGCAGCAGCAGCAAAGTGACACGCGCGGCAGCTTCCCCCAGCAGCTGCCCCCGCGCCCCGAAGATCGCGGCAAGAGCAGCGGCGGCGGCCTCATGGGCAAGCTCTTGGGCAAAGTCAAGGGCAGCAGTGGCGGCGGTCATATGCCCCAGGGTGGCTACCCCGGCCACGGCTACGGCGGCCAGCCGCAGCAGCAGTATGGTGGTTACCCCCAGCAGGGCGGCTACCCCCAGCAGCAGCAGTACGGAGGATATCCGCCCCAGCAGCAGTATGGCGGCTACCCGCCTCAACAGCAGTATGGCGGTTACCCCCCTCAGCAGGGCTATCCCATGCACGGCGGCGGCTACCCCGGCTATCAGCAAGCCGGCGGCAGGAGACCAGGCGGTGGCGGCGGCGGTATGGGCATGGCAGGTGGCATGATGCTCGGTGCCGGTGCCGGTATGCTCGGTGGTGCCATGCTGGCGAACAGCTTCAACGACTCGCAGGACGAGGCGTATCAGGACGGATACGGTAAGGACCCTCACCAACAATGTACAACACCCAGGTGCTAATCGTGCTGCAGAGGACGGTATGGATGATGGTGGTGACTTTGGCGAGTAAACGATGCGCCAGCGACGGCAGGCAGGCGTAGTAGTTGAAGGTGGGCTGATGTTGGATTTTTGATTTTCGTGTGGATGGACTGGTCAACTGCTCTGAGATGAATGCGCCTGGCATGGCTTAACCGCTGTCAGCTCTGTCCATTTTGTTAATTCGATTCCTTCGCATTTGCTTCACATTTACAAGTGTACGGCCGGATATGAAATTTGATTATAAGGGCCCCTTTCGCATTTGCTTTCATCCTAAGGCATAAACTGTCCTGTGAAATGATGCCACTGCAAGCCGGTGTCTAGTGCGCAGGTCCCGTCCCGGCAGCGTACCGGCGCCCCTTTTGTCGGTTTGCTTTCGTGTACAGATTCGTCAGACATATCGTATTTCTCAATATTTCGCCCTGCGAAACGGCTGGTCGACCATGACGGCGCGTCCCTTCAATCCCCCCCCGTGGCCTTTGCTTTTACCCTCCTTTTCCGTTCCTTCTTTTCCAGAGCCCCGAAAGCGGCGGCCAGAGCCAGAAGCTGGAGCCCCCCGCCCGCGAGAAAGCCCCGCAAACGTCAAAGTTGCCCATGGGGTTGCCGCCGCCGCCGGCCTGGTTGGCGCTCCACCGAGCAGCGAGCTCATGGGGTTGCTGCGCTGGGCCTCTTCGAATTCCCTGCGCATTTCGGGTCCACTGCAGAGCCATGTTAGTACATTCGTGCTGCTTGGTGCTGCCGCGCGATCTGATCCTTTCCGAGCAGCCGACCCTTTTCGCGCACCCGACGACAGACTGCAAACTGACCCGCTGACGGGTCACGGGGTGGGAGGGAAGGACAGTGGAAAGAGAGGTACGCACTGTTCTTGAGCATGTACGGCATGCCGAGGAAGATGCCCATCGTGACCATGCCCATGAGGATCATGGGGTTCTTCATGACAATGTTGACAATCGAGACTGCGCGCGGGGAGCATCCGTTGCGGTTAGTCGTGCGACGAAAAAATGTACGCTGGGGAGTTGGGAAGGGCTAATAATCGAGGAAGCCAAGAGGGGGGGGGGACATACACTTGCTCCGCTCGACAAAGTAGCCCTTGACGCCGACGGCCGAACTTCGAAGCCTTGCCGCCGGGTGGAGAATTCCTTTGCCCTGGGATGGCCTCGCCCCTTGTTGGCCCCAGTCGTTGCCGGCGTACGTCCTCCCAGGCGTAGAGGGAGCCGTCCTCGGCGACGTCGACGCGGTACGGGACGAAGATGTTGGTCGTGCAGTGGACGTCTGAGCAGGTAGGAGGCCGGGCCGGTGAGGTTGCGGAAGGTGAACGTGTTGTGCGGCGAGAGGGCGGCCGCGTGCGTGGCGTGCAGCGTCGAGAGCGTGGCGTGCGTCTGCGGCGGGAGGGTCTGCGGGTTGAGGTTCGAGGTTGTGGGAATGGAGAGCGTCAGAGTTGTTTGGACGGTCGCGGCGGCGCAGGAGAAGAGGCCGAGGAGGCCGGCTAGGGAGAGCTTCATCTTGGGTGGTATTCGGTGCGTCGCAGGGGACGATGGGGTTGCCGGTGTTGATGGTGATGGGGGGGTGGGATGGAGGAAGGTGAAGCGATGAGGATGAGGTCAGGTCTGGTGGTTTGGTGGTTTGGTGGTTTGGAGAGCTCAGTTCAAGTGGACCAATAAGGTGGGGGGTGGATCCCACAATGGCTTCGAACCTCATATCCTCAAGATCTCCCCAAGCGCCTGGTGTCCTTCCTGAACAGTCACACCCCACAGCCTCAGCGCCCACATCCTGGTAAGGTGCAGGAACTGAGCCGCGGCCGATCTCACCGTCCGGTGTCTTCGCAACGCAGGATGGGCGTGTACTGAGCCTCTGAGTCAAGTGCCCCCAGCGTCATTCCGGCCTGGACAACTGTCTGAATCTTCAGCACTGGTGATGTCCCACCAGCCGTAGGTTGTATAGTAGTGCTTGGCTAGACCTTTGGTATACAGATTCCCAGTCCCTGGTACCGGATTCTAGCTAACCCACCTACCTAATAGTCATTGCTCCGTTGCTTAGTGCAAGCGACATTGCTACCTCGCTTGCCCTGGGCTCGACGACGCATGTTATCATGGGCACCTGCGCATTCGAAGACAGCACAGGAACCTTGAAAAAGGTGAGTCTACAGCCGTACGATAATCATCTTGTCTTGGAAAGGAAATAGGCGGCAGTCGTGGAGCAAGGGACATTGATGTGGGGTTACGTACATGTGGAGGGCCCAGCGGACTTATCTTGCTTCGTTGTACTTGACATCCTCCACAGTCGGGGCAGCACTCTTCTATCGTGGACGGCATCAACACCATTGCTATCCGCCTGGGTCTAGCACTACACCCCGACTACATTTATCCACTAAATCCAAGCAAATATGGAACAAACTAGGCCTCCAGAGGTATTAAAACAGGTAGGTTTACAGGAACCTTTTCGTTTTTATCGGATGGTTCCTCAAGGGGCCTAGCCCGAGGGAACGCGATGCGGTCGCTGAGGGCTCAAACGATGCCTACGCAGAAGGGTTCGAGCACCCTCCAGGTCACAGTAGAACTGCCGGAGACGTAGTGGAAACGAGTTAAAGTCTCTACGTACATGTAGACTGACACGTACCCAACTGCGAGTGCTCGGTGAGCAGGCAATTACGCGAAACCAATTTGGACTCTTAAGCATAGCTTACCTATGTAACACGGCGACAGCGCTGGGAACAGTAACTGCCCTGAAAATAGAAAAGTCTCGCTGCCTCGGCATTGCCGGCAAGTCTCGGAGATTGCTTGTCATATAGAAGTTAGTTATAGCTGCCAGAGGTTCCGGATCGCAAACCCTAAAATCCGCCGTGAAGAGGGCTGTCGTGCATTCCTTGCTTCTGCCAGGCGAATGTGCATGATCAACTATTGTTGAAACCCTCCGAAAGTTTAGATTCATGACCTAAACAGGGTGCCAAGATTCGTGAGTAATATCACCTTCTCGTTGGAAGTAATAAGGCTGTTGTTCTGCCGCCTCGGAACCGCCGCCGTTGCTCTACTTACCCGTGGAGGACAGACCACTCCTCCCTGCGAGAGCGAAGCTTACATTGCGCCTCCCGTTATTGGTGTCAACGGGGTGGGCCACTGGCCAAAGAAATACACGTGGTCGCCTACTATAATGCTCTGCACGGAGCAGAAGGCGACCCTGCCACCAAGTGAAGGCCGGAGTCCGGGGTCTACGCACCGCGGGACCTACCGGGGTCAACGTCACACACTACATGGTATGTTGTGGTTTCTTGCCTACGTTGTATCCTTACTATGAACCGACCCTGCGGGATTGAGTCTGTATGATCCTGGCCATCAATAGTAGGGCCGTCATCAATCGGGGAATATGAATTTCCTTCGCGATTAGCGTAGCATCAAGTTTTCCCTTTCTTCTGAAGATGTTGAGCTCCCCCGCACCTCGCCTTCACGTGCTTCACGCCGATGGCTGATCGAAACCCCCCCTCCCCTGGGTTGCATCGGGATGAATTCAAGCTGGCTGAGCTGACTCGTCGTTGGTACTATAAGGTGCGACAATCCAGCCATTGCCCGGCTTTCATCATTTCTAGATGGTATGACACCAAGCCTCCGCGTCGTGAACATCACCACACCGGCCATGGCACCACACATTGTTCACTTTTGCCTGTCGGCTGTCCTAACTGCCTATATTTCATGGACCGTTGTGGAGGTATACTTCTCTCAGACCAAGACCAATCGACACAATACTCCCGTCCACTATGCCGCATCACCTGTTCTCGCCATGATCCTGGCTCCGATTGCCATGACCCAGTACAGCAAGGCCAGGTATTTGTCCAAGATGCGCTCCCAGAGCTGCCTCCCTGCACCTGTATACCCCCATTCTGACCCGATACTGGGGCTTGATTGGTTACGACTCTCGCTCAAGGCCATGAAGGGCAACGTGCTCCTGGAGCACTGGCAGAGCACCTTCAAGCGCGTCGGGAACACGTTCTGGGTCAAGGCGCTCGGCAAATGGGTTCTCATGACAAACGAGCCGGAGAACCTCAAGGCAATTCTCGCGTCGTCCTTCGACGACTGGGTCGTCGCTGGCCCACGACTCGACGCTGTCCTGCCCATCCTCGGCCCTCATGCCATCTTTTCGGCCAACGGTGCGCTCTGGCACGATGCTCGAGCCACTATGCGCCCCAGCTTCGTCCGGAACCAGATAGCCGATTTGGCATGCTTCAGGAAACATGTCAATCGCTTCCTCGACAAGATTCCCAAAGATGGTCAAAGGGTGGAGTTGCAGGATCTCTTGTACAGGATGACCATGGACTCTGCCACCGAATTCATGTAGGCATCTTCCGTCTGCAAGTGGTTCCAATAGTCTCACATTTTCAGGTTCGGACACTCGACAAACACGCTCACGAATCCCTCGGCAGAAGCCGTCGAGTTCTTTAAGATGTTCGACTACGTCAACGCCCGCTCGGCGAACCGCGCTCGCCTCGGCGTCATGGCCTTCCTGGATAGGGATAAAAAGTTTGACGAAGGCCTGCGCTTCGTGCACCGCTTTGTCGATGAATACGTGGAGAAGGTGCAAGCTGAGAAGCGAGCCCCTGAACGCAGCTACGTCTTCCTCAATGAGATGGTCGACTCTGGACGGGATCCTCAGTACATTCGGTCACAGCTTCTTGCCCTTATCCTTGCTGGCCGAGACACGACCGCCGGTATCTTGGCATCGCTGCTATGGGTCCTTGCCAGGCGCCCTGATATCGTTGTGACCTTGAGGACCGAAATTGACAGCCTAGGTGGTGCCGAGATCACGTGGGAGACCCTGAAGCAAATGAAGTACCTGAACATGGTAATGAAAGAAGGTAGGCTCAACTCTACCAAAGTTTTGTGGCGGAAGAAGAGAAAAAGATATGTGCTAACAACGTGATAGCTCTTCGTCTATTTCCTCCTGTCGCAAGCCTCTCCCGCTCTGCCGCGAGGGATACCGTCCTCCCTGTGGGCGGCGGACCCGATGGAAAGTCGCCGGTGTTCGTCCCTAAGGGAAATGCCGTGCGGTGGTCTTTCTTCGCCATCCAGCGCAGAGAGGACATATTTGGCCCAGACGCCGAGGAATTCCGCCCAGAGCGGTGGAGCGAACTACGCGTCTCGTGAGTTTCCCCCTTATTTTTCTTCCCGATATCGGCTATTGACAGCCGCAGGTGGGAATATATCCCGTTCTCTGGTGGACCAAGGGTTTGCATCGGACAACAGTTTGCGCTCACACAGATGGGCTACTTCCTCGTGAGGCTTTTCCAGACATTTGGTGGCATCGAAGCCAGAGATGATCGGCCCATGCTGCAGGGCATGACGATTACGACTAAGTTAGCCAATGATCTCTGGGTGGGCTTGAAGAGGGTTTGAGCGCCCCTAAGCCTACTTTGATACGAACCTGGAACTTCTTATGAGGATTGTTCAGAAAGAAGAGGGAGATATGCTACTCGTCTACAGATTGGAAGTTTCGCCCGACAATCCTATTGCAAAGGATATAGGTAATCTATTCGGATGACCTCGCCTACACTGAAACAAGAATCAAGGCCCTAGGCACGGTCCAAAACCGACCAGGCATGGGGATGCGGCCGCGGACCGATAAAACAAGAACTACAAGGACGGTTTACGTCACATGGCCCCTTTGCTCAAAGCTCAGGATAGAGGATCGTTGATATATCAGGATCACTGTGATCCATGAACCCATATCATCGGATCCTAACCGACGAGTGAGCCATTCAAATTGGTCTCACACTTGGCCATTGAGGGTCTTACTACATAGCCATCATAAGTAGACCGGAATGCCTCATAACACTTGGACACTTTGAAGTCATAGTCTATACCTTTGATCATAGTAAACTATACTTCCTTTGATACTACGATTTGTTTGAAAATAGCCAGATCGTTACACTAAGCCGACCTCGTTCTAATCTTATTGACAACGGGACGATCATGCCATGGACGCATATCGGCCCCAAAATCGAAACAGGAGGGTTCGGCATCGTTCAGACGGTTCGTGTGCACCATGATATTCATGCTTTTCTGAGTCGAATTCGCACCCCGGGACCCTTGGTCTAGATTTCAAGAAAGAGAAGGAATCAATGATTCATCTCGAGCAGCCGCCCAACATAGTCTTTGCGCTCAAAACTCTTACTGGAGGGGGTAAGAGAAATACGCCAGCTGTGTTCTCGAGCTTTGAGAAAGAGAGTAGCAACCTTCGAAATTTTCGACGCAAGCACATTGTCGAGCTATGCGCTACATTTCGCGTCGGCGACAGCTCCAAATTTTTGTTTCCCTGTGCCGAGGAAGAGAAGTTCAAACTCAAGGATAGTGTTCCCAAGGTGAACTCGCGCGCTGCATCCGTCTTCTTCAGAGAGGGCATTTCACTGACACGGTCGACATACAGTGGCTTCGAAAGATGGTCAGAGACGGGCGAGTTGGTGATGGAAAATCATCCATACTCGACTTTCTCGACTATGTTCAAGACCGGATGCTCGACCCTGACCGTGAAACCAGGGGTACATCTCGCAAAGTGTTTAGAAATATGCAACAGTGACAGGAATGACCTAACTGGGCATGACAGCCTGCAAAGAAGCAAAAACGGGACGTTTGGCCCCCCTCGTCTATACCACTTGCTTAATTGATGACTGCCTACGTATGGATAGTACGCACCGGCGTTCGTTGCATAACGGAACTGCCCCAACAAGTACCGGAACTGATGCGAGGGCTGGCGTCAATGAGATTCGGCACTCGACCGAAACCTCAAAGAAAGCTATCATTCCTGAAGTCGGGAACAGCTTTCAACATGCACAAAGCAATACCAGCAATGGCTGAACACACCCTTCTGGACCTGGCAAGGCTCCTAGGACGCGGCCATATCCTGGGCTAAGACAAAGTGTTAAGGGGGAGTGAAACAAATAAGTATCTCAGCTTAAGTTACATAATAGCCGGTGGATAATTCGAGGTGCAGCGTTTTGTTAGACGGTCGGCCTGTCTAGGACTTCGATGGTGTGGCGGCTGGGAGACCCCTAAAGTAATACGAAGCTTCCCTGCGAATGTTATGCTATTTCATCAAGGCGAAGACTGGAACAGAAAATTTCACCGCAAAGCATAGAAAATGAACACTAAAGAAAGGAGAGAATTGTGAGATGACTGGCACAGTAATCATGGGTATTCATTCGTTGTCAACATATCTTCATCACCGTTACACCTCACGGGGCCAGAGGCGCGTCCTCGCTCTGCCTTCGCCGACGGGCAGCTCGTTGCTCTTCTCCTCGCCCGTGGTGGTCGTAGCCGAGGAGACCTTGAAGGCCTGTTCGAAATCGGCAATAATATCGTCGATGTGCT